CGTTATGAATTTGGCATAATTTTAAAGCTGATACTTTATTAAAAAGTAACAAAGCATTTTGCGATTAATCGATGGCAAGTGTGCTTCAAATAATATGAAGTTCACGCATTAACCGAACAGCATATAGACTAAGATCTTGATAAGAAGAAGCCATATTAGTAATGATTATAAACGAGAATTGTTAACGATATTGCCAATATCCACACAGCTGACAGCTTTACCTGTTGTAGTTTGTTCAAGTTGTGCACGAAATAGACTGCTTTTCCACACTTTTACTTGCACTTCTCCGTCATTTCGATCTCTCTCACGATGTACAGCTGAGCTGCCCAATGGCGACCTCAGCAAAAACTTCACTCGCAAATTAATATTTTTTCATTAATTTGCGCATTTTTTAGCATTTTAGTCGCAGTCTGGAGCCCTGCAAATGATCAACTTTTTGTGACGACGCGGCAGTGACAAATCAGTCAACTTTCCCGAGCATCTTTCACGCTGGCCCTGGGCCATCAGGCAGTCCTTATTGTCGAGCCCCGCATCATGCAGATGATATTTTTTACTATTGGTATTTCAATTACACAAACTATATCTGGCATTTAAATAGAAAAATATAAATAAATCCATAATTGTTAAAAGCATATAGTTTGAAGCAGAAATATTTAAAAAGCTAGTGTAATTTTTGTATTCAAATAAATTAAATCATTTTGCTTGTAAATGTTTCCTCATGTCCCTTTATTAAGAAAAAAACTAATGATTTGATCAATTTTCATTGCACCCAAGTTCTTTGTGCACTCCTAAATTTTTAAAGTAGGAGCACTAGTGCTTCTTGGGGAAAAAAGTAGCATCAAGCCCTGTTAGTGTATTGGCCAAATATGGATTCATTGCTGTGCAATTAATGTTTAAACATCAGCAGTCTCTTAAATCCCTAGATGATGTGTGCGTGGTTCCAGTTATGAAGTCATATATTGAGTAGTTTGCAAACTAATGAACAGGATCACATGTGAAACATGCTGATTCTTTGATCTGGTGTGTGCCTGCAAGCTCAGATTCCCCCTCTCATACCTCTCTGACAGTTAAAGTGCGTGCGCATTCTGTTTGTGTCCTGTGGATTATCGTCTGTTACTAGGCCCAGACGGAATCACAGGATTTTCTGCGCTGATTTAGGGGTAAATTTGTGGAATACTGTGGAATGCATTTAAATGTCTTAAATACACCAAAAGTGCTGCACTTTTGATTGGTAACTGAAAACACATTACCAAAACTTTATGAATACAAACTAGAACTTTGCTAATGATTGTATTTTTCTGGAAGTATGTGAGATTCCCTGTAGAGTTGTGTGTACGCCGAATCTGTGAGGGTCTGCCTCTTAAACTTGCGGCTGGCACAGTGTGTAACCTGTTGTTTGTTTGTGTGTGTTTTCAGTGCTGAAAGGTTGTTAGCGAGTTTCGTGAGTGATATTATGTTGCCATAAGGTGAGTTTGCATTGACAGTGCCGATAAATGAGGATACAAAGACCACTGCAAATGAAGTTCAGAAAACAGATAGCTGGAGACACATGATGGGAGACACGCGCGTGGAAATTAATTGCCAGGAAGTCGGTGGTAATTTGAATTGCAAATGGACACCAACTTGTTCCCCGACTTGAATGATTAATATTTTATTGTTTTACTGAGTGAAAATGCCACAAGTGTTTTTCATCAGAAACAAATAGCACAAAGGAAGGAGGGAGAAAAAAAGAGAGATTGGCTTAACTGATAATAATGAGTTGCAAGGTAATGAATATCGTCTCTGAGCATTAATTTTGGTGTGTGTAGTAGGGCTGGGCAGTATATCAAATATTATTTGTTTTTATGGTAATTCTTCTGTATAAAATTTAGCAACATTGTGAATATCACAATTATTTTTAAAGGTCTTTTAAGTTTCCTAAAGGATACACAACTTGCGAGTATAAAAGCAAAAGACAAATTTCATATTGTCTGTTGCTTTTATATTGTCTGTTTTAAATGGAATAGAAAATGTGGTGACTTGATAAGTTTAAGTTCTGTAAATAAAATTAATTGGAATCAACTGATTCCAATGATGCACTGAAATGCTTTCCAAAACAGAAAAAAGCCCGCCAGTGCCTATTTTGTACACACAATGTGGATAAGTTATAACAGACATAATATAGGACACACTGGACTGCATAAACACTTCACTTACCCAGTTACCCAAATTTAATTAATACAAATTTATTTTTTGGCTGAATAAAACTAATTTAGTTTTTTGTTAAAAAAAACATGGGGGAAAAATGGTGCGTTACTAATTGATGTAAAACTCTGATTTACCTAACATTTGTCGCACCCAAAAATACTAATTTGTCAAATTTTGAATGATATAAAAAAATGGAAATTTGTAGCAGAAAAAAATACTTTTTATTACCATGTATTATTATTTTGCTGCATAAAAATTGTTAAATATCCTTTCTTGTGTTCAAGACTTGTATATTTTTAAATGCATTTTACTTAAACCTCTTTTCACATCTACTTGGCTGAAGTGACTGTTCAGTCAAAACGACTCCTCCTCTAATTGGACAAATCATTCTTTTAAGCAAACTATAAGCAAAAATATAAATATCGAGGTTTATTTTTTGTTTTGTTAAATAGCTGAAAAGTATTGGGTTATATTTTAACTATCACCCAGCTTTAGTGTGAAGGTGGGAAATGGATGAGTTGCTCTGTACTTCTGAAAAGTTTTGAATTGACCTTTTCACTCTCCTAATATTTTCTTTTCTTCTCTCCTCCCCACAATACACTTTGTTTTGCACTTTGTTAATTTTTTTCTCCACCATGTACTCTTCCTCTCTCATTCTCGGTTTCAAATCGTCGCACAATTTACAGAAGGTTCCGCCGGGCCGTGGTCTATCCTTTCAATCAGATGCTAATTAGGGGAAAGGAACGTCTCCGTCTCTCTCGCTCACAGACGAAGGGACGTGCAGGTTGAGTGGGAAAGTGGAAAGAGGAGCGGAATACGGTAAAAAATGGAGAGCGGAATGGGAGATGAAAGGGTGATGAGGTCGCTTCAGATTGAGAAAAGAGAGGATAATACTTGTATTTTTTTTCTTTAAAGTTTAGCCAAAATCAAAGGTCCTCCAGTCACCGTGTCTGGGAAATGTTCAACTCTTCATAACTTTGTGATCTGACCGCAGAAAATCTTGCTGTTCTGTGAAGTAAATTAAAAAGTTACCTATAAGTGACGTATTTTAATAAAGACGTTTCTACCCAGCTCATGCCCGAGAGGGCCTTTGACCATGTGTTCTTTAAACATTTATAAATGTCATTCATGGAGCGAGAAATTAGCTTTTCTGCTTTAATTGGTTATCAGTCACAAGCTTCCCTTGGACTGTTTTTACATCCATTAATTAGCCCTATTAATGACTTACTGTACTGTTAGATAAGTGGTTAGTTTGGTTTTTCTGGTCAGTTCATTAATGGCTAGGGTGTATCCAGCTAACGATTAAAGTGCCTTAATTAGCAGCGGCGAAAAATAAGGATTAGTCCTGAGGTTCTGTTTTATTTATTTATTTTTGGTCTGAAGAAAAAAGATTGAAAAGGTTTAAGGTTCAGAGGTTTGAGGGGAAATGAACAAGAGAGCCAATAGAATGATGAATGTGCTTTTCTCCTGGAAAAGAGCGGGAGGGCTGTTTCACACAAGAGGAAAAGAAGAAATAGTTTTTTCCTCCAGCATTATAAACATGTAGCTTTGACGGATTTAAACTCGCTGTAGTTGCTGATGGTGCTTCTGAGTCTTCAGAGGTCTGGCTTTTAGTCTGACACCAGTGGCAAATGTAGACGTGCTGAACTAGATATCAACAAAACCGAGATCAAACAGTACACAAGATGTGGTGGTTTGTTTGATTCTGCATATTTTTGTGGTTTGTACATATGTTCAAGAAAAACTGTAAACCTTTTTTGCCATTGTACAAAATCATCTCCGGCTTTTTTTGGTTTGTATGTAGAACAGTATGGAATTGTTTGCAGTTACTGAAGGTGGATGTTAATAGTGAATCAGCTATCTGATCTCTTCACTCAGTAGGACTTTAAAACACTATTTATTAATTTTTTAATAATAATGTAAATATACCTTTTTATTAAGAAATATTGAATTCATTTATATCCATGAACAGACAATTTAATACTACCACTACATCTAATATGCAGTGTTGTATTGGTTTTATTTAAATTGCTTATATATCAAATTGTTAATAGTGAATCCGTTATCTGGTCACTTCACTCACCATGACTTTAAAAAAAAATTTTTTTTTAAATAATGTAGAAATTAGAGGTCGACCGATGTATCGGTTTTGCTGATTAATTGGCCCCGATAGTTGATTGGTGAAACTATCGGTTATCAGCAAAAATCCATGCCGATAGTTTTTCCTGGTTGTGTCCATTGCTGGAGCGGCTGAGAAGGTCCTCTTTATACATAAAAGTCCCAATAGTCTTTGTTATACAGCACGAGAGCGGCCTAGAGGCGGAAATCACTGACAGCACGTGCAGTTTGTTTAGATGCGTGATACTGCCGGCTGCACAGAGCACTTCAGAGGCGGATTTAAAACATCGACAATTAAACGGTGTGTGTACACAGTATACTGTAGTGAATGTTTTCATATCATTACTAAGTGATTAATTTGTTGACTAGATTTTATTTTCTGTTCAGTATCCATTTTAAAAACTATCGGTTAATTAATCGGTATGGGCCAGTGTGGTCCAACTTAGCTATCGGTATCGGTAAAATCCAATATCAGTTGACCTCTAGTAGAAATATACCGTTTTATTAATAAAATAATGATTTTATTTATATATTGAATTATTAATTGTTGTACATTAACTACTAAAGACAATCTTATACTACTACTAATAATGTTGTTTTAATTAATTTTATTTAAATTATTTTCGAAGAAGGAAGTTTTAAAGCTGTTTGAAATAAATTCTCAATCTGTTTTTGCTTTGTTTTCTCTGCTACAGATTGTAAAGCTAATGAACTGGACTACTCAGTGAAAAACACGTCAAGGTTATGCCTGCATTCCCTCTGGGTTACGCTGAACACGAGTGTGTGCCCGGATCCTGGCGGCGGCTGTGAAATCCACCCTCCACCTACCCCACCCTCAACGTTCAAAACTGGCGATGTCCAGGGTACCGAGTCCGCCCCCTCCTGCAGAAATGACCAGCGGCCCTGTGGCCGAAAGCTGGTGTTACACACAGGTGAGTGTGTGTGTGTGGGTGGGGGGTTCTGGGTCAGTCGGTGAATCTGTATACTCTGCGACAGGGGTGCTCAATTCTGATGGTCTACCTTCAGAGTTCGTTCCATGTCTAATCAAACACACCTGAACCAGCCAATCAAACTTCATGGGTTTACTTGAAAATTACTGGCAGGTGTGTTAGACCAAGACTGGAACTAAATTGTGCAGGAAGCTAGATCTTACAGGTGCAGATCTGAGCACCACTGGTGTCCCAGACACATATTAAGTCTCGTTTGATGCTAAAAATGGGCAATCAACAGGACCATGTGGGATTGGCATCCTTTTTTATCTGCTGAGTAGAATTAGAAGTGGTTTTGAAATAACTTTTTTAAAGGTAAAAATTACCTTGTGGTAATTAACCCATGTGTTGTTTAAAATCCCTATGACTTCATTTTGTGGAACACAAAAGGTTAATGTTGCTCTTTTTCATTCTAAAAAAATAAAATAAATAAAAATACAGTTACTGGGGCAGTGAAGCTTCATAAAGGACCAAAACACACCATTAAAAGTCACTCAAGTTTTCTACAATTATTTTTAAATATTTTGAAATACGTTTTTATGCTCACCAAGGCTGCATTTATTTAATCAAAATTAAAGTAAAAACAGAATAACTGTTTTCTGTTTTAATTACTGTTTTCTATTTAAATATATTTTAAAATGTAATTTATTCTTGTGATGGCAAAGTGATCCCTCAGAAATTATTCTAATATGCTGATTTGGTGCTAAAGAAAGATTTCTTATGTTGAAAACACTTGTACTGCTTAATATTGTAGAAACGTAATACATTTTTTGTTTTAAGATTCTTTGAATAGAAATAAAATTCAAAAGCGCAGCATTTATTCAAAACACAAGTCTTACCAATATTTGATATACATATAAATAATATAAGCATTACTAAACCTTATATTTGTTTGAGAAAAGCATCTTTGTATGCACCTGAATGATCGGAGTATGTGTCTGTTTGTCTAAAAATATGTAATGGCCATTATCTTCTCTGTGTTTTGAGTGTGTGTGACTTCACAGGACCCTCCACGTGTTCAGAATCCCCACGACTAGTGAAACATGTTCCATTAATGCTTTCATTTATCTTGCCATCATTCTCCCCCAGTATTTTTGTTTGAGGTCTTTTTATTCCTTGTTCTCCCCATCCTGTTTGTTGTCAGAGCGCATTGAGATAAAAGGCGGTTTTGATGTGTCGCTTTTTGATGTCTTGGCCAGCACTTGCGGATCTAATGTAGGAAAGGGGAAAAAAAAGTAGATGGATAAATGGAAGAATGAAGTGTCTTGTCTGTTATCTTCTTGTGTGTTTGTTCAGATCAAAGTGGTTAAGTTCTCCTATATGTGGACTATCAACAACTTCAGCTTCTGCCGGGAGGAGATGGGCGAGGTCATCAAAAGCTCCACCTTCTCCTCGGGGGCCAATGACAAGCTTAAATGGTAAGACAGGGAGGAGCACACATGGATTTGCATAATATTTTAAGTTGTTGTTTTGTTTTGTTTTTTCAGATAAACTTTTAGACTAAGACAAAGTGTAACTGCTGATGTAATATTCTTTGTTTTTGAGCAGGTGTTTACGAGTGAATCCAAAAGGTCTGGATGAAGAGAGTAAAGATTATCTGTCGCTCTATCTGCTCCTGGTCAGCTGTCCTAAGAGCGAGGTTCGGGCGAAGTTCAAGTTCTCCATCCTTAACGCCAAGGGCGAGGAAACCAAAGCTATGGGTGAGATTTTTATAAAATTCTTAAGAATTAATTTTTTTTTATTCGGTGAAGCAAGCAGCACGATAGTTTATACCATGGTATTAGCTTCCTTATATAAGCTGTCTTTTGTCTTGTGTCCATCCAGTTTCAAATAAAAAGAATTAACAATTTAAAGGTAGCTAATTTCATTTCAGCTATTTTATTATTTCTTATATGAGACCCTGGACCACAAAACCAGTCATAAGGATCAATTTTTCGAAATTAAGATTTATACATCCTCTGAAAGCTGAATACATAAGCTTTCCATTGATGCATGGTTTGTCAGGATAGGACAATATTTGGCTGAGATACAATTATTTGAAAATCTGGAATCTGAGGGTGCAAAAAAAAAAGAAAAAAAAAGATGATCTTTACTTAACATCCTAATGATTTTTGGCATAAAAGAAAAATAATTAAAAAATAATCATTTTAACCCATACAATGTATTGTTGGCTATTGCTACAAATATACCCCAGCGACTTAAGACTGGTTTTGTGGTCCAGGGTCACATATATAAACCATTTAAATTGGTTTTCAGCCAAAATAACTATCGTTTTAGTGATATAAAATTGCTCATACAGTGATTTTTGTCCACCTCTAATCTAGTATATAATTTGATCTCCTTAAAAAAAACTGTGCATAAGCAGAAGCAAATTTCATTCCCGCATACTCATCACAATCAGTGTTTTATGAAACATTTATTTAATCAGAGAGTGTTTTTGCAGACTAGCTCAGTATCGGTTGATCCCTTTAGGGACCTGTAGATCCTACAAACACGGATACCTGCGAAACGAAGTTAATCACAGACTGGCATGCCTCTGAAAGTGTGAATGGTGCGGTATTTTCTGTGAAAGTAATAACATTCAATGTGAACTTTTCCCCTTGTATTATTAAATTTGAGGCAGGCGGCAGTGTTTTAATTGAGATTTTTTTGGGGTGATGGCCTCCAGGCTGTCCTGTTTGATGGGTGTAAGTGGGTTTCAGGGGGTTTGGCCTTCAGTGCCTCTGAATTACAGTCGCTCAGATGGAACAACTTTATGCCTGATTTCGCTTTTCTGTTTTTTTTTTTTAAACCAAGTATTATTCATAGCTGGGGGTGTGTGTGTTCCTGTAAGGTGGTTTTGTTATTCTCATAGGAAAAATATTTCTGACATCCTGGTGTGGATGTTAAAACCAGGTGAATGCGCATTTATAAATGTAAACATAACACATTGAAAAAAATCAATGTGCATATGATATGAATGTGGGTATGTGTGTGTTAGGTCAGTGAACTTTGTAGCTCGCAAGGTTATGGAGTTTATTGGTATATAGAGAAGAAATGGTGAAACAAAAATGTGTGTGTTTTGTTAGGAGCTTTAGTCTTCAACTAAACATTCTACTTTACCCAGTTTTTGCTCTGTCCAAAAGTTAATTAGTTCACTCAAAATTGAAAACTCTGCCATGGTTTACTCACCCTCATGTCAAACCCAAAGAGTTTTTTATTCTATGGAACATGTAATGTACAGATTGCTGTTTTTAATGCATCTACAATGAATGAGGAGTGTAGTTTTCAAACTTCAAAAAGGATGCAAAGGCAACAAAAGTGTATGATAAAGTGACTCTATATGACGTGCACTATATTCCAGGTGTTTTGAAGTCATATGATAGATTTGTGTGACGAACAGACTGAAATTTAGGCAGTTCACCGATAATCTTCCCCTCCATTTATCTGTTAAATGCTGCGACTGATCGTTGAGTGAGTTAAACTCGTGAACTGGATCAGTCTGATTCATGAACAAATCTTTTTTTAAATTTTTTTATTACCTTTTTTTTGTGAACTGAATCAATTGCCAAGGACAGCTGGGGCAAATGTCAAGGTTTTAATGACATTTTAGTATGTTCCTTACACAAAGCTATCGAATGACTGGCTGCAGAGGACATGAAATATATCACACCACATTTTGATACTTAAATGCTGCTTTTTTTTTTGTTATTCTAGACCGTGATGGATCTAGTCTTCATCCACATCTGTTATATTTGAAAGGATGTCAAGGATATTCAGCTATTGTGCTGGATAAAATAAAGATTTGTAAATAAATTAAATGATGACAGAACTTTAATTTCTGGGTCCTTTAAAGTTCTCCTTAAAACATCTCTGCCCATGTGTATATTGGACAGACACTAAATGCTTGCTTTTATTTTGATATACAGTGAACGAATTCTCTAAAAACAATGTTTTATAATGGTGTACAAACAATAAATTTACATTAGCATTAAAAAACAAATGTTCTTCAACCCCCACTTGTGTGATTTTTAGGCAAGGTAAGCTTAAGCTGGTAAACCGCCCCTGAATCGTCCTTGCGCCGATGCTGACGGTTTTATACAAGCCTGAATTAGATGTTACACAAAAGGCGGCGAGCTCCGCGTGGCCTGGAGAGATTAAACTGAGGTGCGAGCAGCAGTCACACTCTCATCTTTTTGTAGAATCTCACATATGGGCAGAGGAACGGGAGCGAAAGAAAGAGAAAAGGGTGCCAGAATGTGGCAGCGAGATGAGATGAGAGGTTGAACAACCCCGTCTCTCATTTTCCAATTTTCTCATTTTCTGCACCTTAATGGGCGAGAAGGCGCTCCTTGTGTTTTGCCCCGCACTCCCCCTCTCTCCTCCATCTCTTTCCTCCACTCAACGTTCTCTCCATTTAGCGCCCCTCTGGAATTGGGGAGGGGGGTGACGTGCTTGGGGCGTCCCAGGGGACGTGGGAGCGCCGACAGCCACCGTACAGTGATGGGGAGAGTTTTTAAAGTGGGACGGAGGATGAAAATATGGCAGCAGAAATTGCTCTATCGGTTCTGGATCATTTAGAATCCAATTTAATCCTGCCCTCCTCTTGGGGGAGAGCGAGATGAACGAAAGAGGAGCGGGGAAAGCAGAGGTGGAGAAAGAGAAATAAAAACAAAGTAAAGTGCTTTAATTAAGAGGGCTGTGAGAAGGCACTGGAACTCTGCAGCATGACTTGTGTTTATGGAGTCAGTCATGGGCATGACGACGAACAAATAGAGGTGCTGAGGAACCTGGTCCTCTCTGAGGATCAGTGATCAGGTCTGACGGACATATGAAACCAGTTTCAGGAGAGCACTGGATGGTTGAGTAGTGTATAAACTACTCAGTTGACGTTCCTTTCACTGCGTGCTGTGTGTAGTTATACAGATGAGACTGCGTGCTGGCAGATATTGATTCTGAATGTGCTTTATTGGCTATTGACCGTTTGATGAACATTTACACAACAGAGCTTTACTGCTGTTGCTCTGAGCCCCGTGTGGCCCGTAGCTGTTAATACTCCCATAGATCAACATTTATAATGCTGACGGTTTCACTGTAAAGCCACGGAAGGATGAGGATTTAAATTATTTTTTGGCTGGTCAACCACATTTGTGGGTGAATATCTAGTATATCTAATTCAAATGCATGTGAAATAAATGCACAAAAACCTATTTAATGTATGTGGACCTAAAAAGAAGTCTGTACTCTTTGTATTCACATTGTCCATGGCTTTGAAAGTGGAATTTTTTTTTTGTTCACTTTAGTTGTTTTGAATTCATATTCTATTTGACTACTTTTTGAAAACACTCAAAAAAAAAAGAAATACCCTTTTTCATCAATGTGCAGAAGCTAACAGTGAAATGCATAGGTCCAACATGCACATTGATAGCTTTTGTCTGTTTTATGTAATATTCAAGTTCGTGTCGTTGCTTCTAAGCAACAACATTTCCTGTCAAAAATCAATTTGAGAAGTCACCCGCCACATCTGTGCTAAAGGTATCAGCATTCAGCTGGTGGCAGGTGTTAATTTCATAACCTGCTATTAAACTCTGTTAGTTTTTGTTGCTCTCATATATTGTATATTTATTTTAACAATACTTTGCAGTGTTCTCACGTAGCCGGACGTTTGACTAACAACATAGTGTGGTCCACAATGCAGCTTATTCCAGCCAAGAGCTGCCCAGAGACCAGAAGTTTTTACAGACCCAATCGAGACAAGCCGATCAGAGCTGACTATTTATCATACCAGGCAGTTAAAGGTGTTTTGCTCTCTGTATGTTTGTACAGGAGTGTCAAGGTTAGAGGAATTATTGTATAGTGTTTACACTGGAGGATTGTGTTGATGCTGTTTTGAGAATGTCAGTTTACTTACATTATTGTTCTAACATTGTGCTACTGAACTCTCTATTAATGGCAGAGTGTAAGTCGAGGATGTTGTTGGATGTGACAGATCTCGCTATATTTCTCTTTTTAGTGTCATGTAGCCAGACTTTTGAATATTCTTGTAAAATCTGTCCACTTTACAGCTTATTCTGTCCAAGATCCACCCATATAGACGGGAAGCGACCATCTAACTAAAAGACCATCTGCTAAAAGATATAATTTGCTTGCTACTAAGTGGCTCGAGTGTAATTCTTGGAAATCTTTCAAAGACTAGATGCCATGGTCCTCGCAAACATTGGCAAATCCAATGAGGAAATCTTATCCAGCAGAAAAACCTGTGTATCCTGACACCTGAAAATTGCGTATGTGCAAGCCAACTGGTTATTTCAGCCAACTTTTGCTTTGTGTGTGTGTGTGCGAAGTACGCATCAGGTCATCTGTGGGCGGTCAATGGGTGTTTCGTCTGAGGCTGAGACTACTTGACGCCCTCAATGTCTTTTCTCAAGGAGTTCGAAATTGCGGTGTTGTGGATTAAAATGGTTTGCTGTTGAACTCTGGTCAATTGATGCATGCCCCCAGGAATTCATCTAGTTTTGCTCACTTACAGACGTGTTTTAAAGTATGGGCAAACAGAACTTGGCCTTTCGACCTCCCTGGCTTTCTGTGTGTGTATGCTTAGTGCATTTGCGATCGAGCAACCTTCTCTTTTTCTCTCTGTGTGCCAGGACATTAGGCACTGTGCCCCAAAGCCCAGCGCCGGGGCCTGAATATGTATTGCCACTGGCTGCTCTTTCTATTTCATTGCTTTAACTCTCTCTTCTCCCTCTATGCATAATCCATCTGTCAGCCCTTTTTATTGGAGCTGTATTCTGTCAGATGTCCTAAAACACTCCTCCTCCTTTCTGCTTGTGTATTCGTGTCCACAGAGGCCTGACCCTGGTTGGATGCCAACAGGAACTTGCCCTGCCCTACTGCAATTGGTTAGTTTCTAGACGTCCCCAATGAGAGCACAAATTTAGCCACTGCCCTGATCTGACCCCAGACCTCCTCGAGAGACCAATCAGTGTCTCTGTCACTCTTTCTTTCCACCCCCTGTCAATCTTCCACTATGTTTCATGAAAGGTTTATGCATCTGTGGACAAGGGTTATGCATAAACATGTGAAATGGCATCCTTTTTTGCCTTTTTTGCCTTCATATGACCAGCAAAGTAGCTTTCACCTGTGGTGTGTTCAAGCCCGTATGGTGTGGGGATTGAAAAATTATGTTTTGAAATTCTGCTTCTCCCATTTAATAGGTGAGTAACTTGATTTACTGAGGAGTTCTTGATTCTGGGAGGGTTAATTACCCACCGGTCCATCAGCATCTTCTCCAAAGCAGCTGAATCAAACCATGCCATCTGTGAACACTCTTGTCTGTCCAATTCATGAGCAATACGGGCAGTCATGTATTGCAAGAATTACCTCAACAGAGGCGTAACTTAGACCAATAAATTGGCCAATACTTGACCATTTTGAGATGTATCTTTTATGCATGACTCATTAAATTCGACCAGTTTGGAGCAGACGTCACAGTTACGTCACTTGCAGCTGCGCACACATTGTGGTGGCAGAAAACACTGGTAACAAGTGGAGGCAAATGGGTAAAATCCATGGAATAAGAGAAAAAAAAGTATTGTTGCACCTTTGGATGTCAGAATTGGAATGCAAATCATTTTTATTGAATACTGTCGTCAAAGACACCATTTAAAGCTAAACGCAGATATTTAAACGGACAGACTATGGATGAAACCTGTTATGATTACTCTACTTTTAAAGCATAAATTTGATTCAAACAATAGGTCTACATAATATTCACATATGCAGTTCATAGGGGACATATTGTATTAGCCCTACAGTTAGAGCATGAAATACTATTTAAACCTATAACATTTACCTATTTTATCTCACAATTCTAACTTTTTTTCTTGCAAATGCAAGTTTATATCTCCTAGTTCGAACTTTAGAACTCGATTTAACTCAACTATAGCAAGTTTGCTAATTCTGTGGAAAAAAAAGCCAGATGCGTGGCATATGAACTCATCATTCTGAGAAAAGAGAGAATGTCAAGTTGAATTTTCTTATCAGAATTGTGAGATGTAATCTCGGAATTGCGAGAATAAAGTCAGAATTTTTAAATATAAACTCAAATGTACCTTTTTTATTTTTTTATTCCATGGCTTCTATAGACTGCTACTTGAAAATTGTCATTTTCACTGTAATCACATAATCACTGTTTGCAAACACCGAAATTGGTCTATATTATCTTGTTCTCTCGCTATATAAATCTCTAAGGTGTGTCTGTTTTCCACACAACTAAAAGACAACATTTATAATTTGTTTTAATTTAATTTAACGAAAATAAAGTGATGCTAGGCCACAAAGTAAGTTACTTAATGTTTTTACTTGCCGGTTGACTGTTAAGCACACTTCGCAACTGCCCTTATCCCCCAATTCTCATTATTGTAAAATATGTGAATGTAAAATTTTCAAAGTGTTAATACATGTTAAATACATTTTGAATATATATTGTAACATCTATTTAAATTGAATCTGGAGTGGACATGTGCTTAATTGTCACATTTCAAAAAGTTATGTTCCTAAAATGGGGTTTTTCTCTATATGTTAAAAATAGTAATTGTAATAATTAGCATTATATTGTCCTTTCTGCTGTTGGATACCTGCAGCAGCAGTTATTGGAAAGCTGCTGTGACTTAAGTTCTGATTTGAAGGGAGACCAGGGTCTTCCTGAGGCATGTCTTTGGTTGCCCTTCCAGTGCTCCTCTATTGCGCAGATCTGTATGACTGTCACAGTTGAGCTGTGAACACACAGCCATTTCACACCATGTTAAAACACCTGCACACACACAAACAAACAGCAGCAGATTAACCGGCAATGACTTGAGCCCCAGCTGCGCTCGACCGACAGAGAAAAGAGGAAAGATGCTTCTCTAGAACAAGTGTAACGCTTTAGGAAGAGAGGATGTCACACTTGATAGAGTGTGCTTGTCACACATACCCACAATGCAACAGAAGCACAAAGGAATCTATTCATCTCTCCTTTTTTCGCTCTTCCCCACTCTCTGTGTCATGTATTTCTCTTCTCTCCCCTTCTGTGTATGAAAGTAGTGACTAAGGAGAAATCCTCCAGTAGGATTTTGTCGACACGTCTTGATTCAGTATCACTTTCTTGTATTCTTGTTCTTCATCCTTCTCTTGTTGTTCCTTCTTTTCTTCTCTTTCTTGTCTTATTCTTTTTCCTGCTTTTGTAGACTCTTCCCTTCTTATTCTTGTTCCTTTTACTTTGTCTTCGTTGTCTTTTTCCTTTCTCTTCCATTTATTCTCCTTCCCCTCGTTCTCCCTCTTATTCTGCCTCTTTTTTTTTTTGTTCCGGTGTCTTTTAAAAGTTATAATTAAACTGCAAATGCTTGTTGTCACTACACTTGTATTGTAGAAAGCTTATTGTAATGGGGGAGATCTTTTTTTTTTCTCCCCCAAAATACCTTCCAGTGTGGCTTATGTGAAATTGAGATGAACCTGATCCTGCTGGTCAGCTGAAACATCGGCAGTCAAGATGGAGTGAAGATTTGGACATAGCAGCTATAAAAATACAAATGCATTCATGTAGGTTTAAGGTGCTTTCAGAGAAACTGCAGGAGAGTGAAAAATCACAGAATAATCAGACTGGTTATAATGCAGAAATTAATGGAGAGCAAGATTATAGACCTTGCCAGACAGGCAGAAAAGCCTCTTAAGGAGTATTTGGATTCAGATTAGTCTGAGATATATGTGAGATTTCTTGCATAGATTGTTTTTGCCTCCCTCTAATACTGAGACTGAATTATAGTGCATGGTGAAAGTTATTTTGATGGGATTTTGTTAATAGGTCATGCCATTACAGAGACCTGGAGCAAGGCCGGTGTTCTGTGTCCACCTAATCAATTTTGTGCCAATATGCTTTATTTTTTATTTTTGTGCAGAGAGCCAGCGGGCGTATCGCTTCGTACAAGGAAAAGACTGGGGGTTCAAGAAGTTCATAAGGCGAGACTTCCTCCTGGATGAGGCCAACGGACTGCTGCCTGATGACAAATTGACACTCTTCTGTGAGGTAAGCGATGCACGACCAATCATATGCTGCACTTCCTTTCGTAGGTTTAAAATATACTACTTTCCAAAAGTTTGGAGTCTGTAAGGTTTTCTTTTTTGTTTTTGAAAGTTAAGTCTCTTATGCTCCGCAAGGTTGCATTTATTTGATCAAAAATGCGAATAAAACAGTTGTGTTGTGAAATATTATTATAATGTTAAATGACTGTTTTCTATTTTAATCTATTTTAAAATAATTTATTCCTGTGATGAAAAAGCTTAATGTTTAGCAGCCATTACTCTAATCTTTAGGGTCACATGATCTTTCGGAAATCATTCTAATTGGCTGATGTTTGATGCTTATTGTTATCAATGTTGAAAGCAGTTGAAAGCTTCTAAATATTTTTGTGGAAACAGGGATAGATTTTTTTTGCTAAAGCTAAAAAAGAAAATTGATCAAAAGTGACAGTAATCCATCCATGCTAAATAAACATTTTCATTATCTTACTGACCTCAAACTTGAACGGTAGTGTAAGTAGGGAAGGTTATTTTTTTATTTGAAAAATTTAAATATATGATTGATCATGGGCAATTTCAGCTATAACAGTTAAAAGTTACGAGACCCCATAGAGCTCTTAACAAAGCCTGTCTTTAAAATCACCTGCTTTAAACCATTGTACTATAGTCATAGACGTTCAGATGGATGCTTTTAGTTGTTGCGTCATGCCACACACTGTTTTTTGAGTGTACTGCTACAACTTTTGTTTAGATGATGTTAAAAACAATAATTAAAAAAAAGTCTCAAGGTCCATGTTTTATTCCGCTGCGCACGGTCTAGCTGTTTTTGAACACAAGTTATGTAAACACTCCCAAAGAAACATGTCTGATAGGGGTCTGATATCAACTTAATTATACAGGGTTTCCTTTAGACCAGGGGTAGTCTAATCAAACACACCTGAACAAGCTAATCAATGTCTTCAGGATTACTAAGGCTATAGGCAGGTGAGTTTTTTTTTTTTCAGGGTTGGAGCTAAACTCTGCAGGACTGCGGCTCTCTAGGACCGAACTTGCCTACCCCTGCTTTAGACTAATTAGTCTGCTAGTCTTGAAAATATGTAGTTTTACCAAGCGGCAACCTCCCGCTCTCTCTCGTGATGCCAACAAGGAAGTGACTTAAACTGTAATTCATCAACTGGCTGCTAGAGGCTGGCTGCAAAAGGGAGTCAATCCCATAGACTCCCCATGTTAAAATGCCCAACTTTACAGCAGAAAAAAATGTGTTTACAGCCTGGTACAAAAAGTGGTTTTGGTCTATATAGCTAATTTTGCCCTTCATGACAACTGTGAGGGGGGTGAATTTTTTTATAAGTCATCCGTTTAAATTATATTAAGCCTTAAAGTTCTGCATAATTAAGGGCGTGGCCACTTGAGTGACAGGTGGATTGCCGCTGCTGTCACCACCGTCGAGCTAGGTGGGCGTGGTTTCAGCAACCAGCTCCCGCCTTTTTGCCCATTTTCGATTATCCGGGAGTGACGCGCGGTGACGCGCTGCCAAGATGGCGACGGCCGGCTCCGCCCACTTTGAGCTTCAAAAACCTCTTCAGGAACCTACGGGTGACGTCACGGACACTACGTCCATGTTTTTATACAGTCTATGAGTTTTACACATCCTAATCAAGATGGACAAAGTCTTTCCTCTCCTCTCTCCTCCTCCTCTCCGCTCTCTTCCTGTGTCTCATTATTATTTCCCAGAACTTCAGCATTGCCTCCTCCTTTCTTCCTTCTTGCACCATTCTTAACTCAGTTTTCCTCCCACAATTCCATTCTCATTTTTTTTTGCCTACATTTGAGGTGCTTCTCTCGGTTTCTCTGTCCTCTGTTATGCGGTTTCTTTTTTAGGTGTTAGCTCCTTAAGTAAGGGCCTGAGCATACCTTTCCCTCTCTCTCTTTTTCTCTCTTGTTTTTAATGCGTAGAGGGGTCCCATTAGAGGTGGAATACTTGGTGTCATTGTGGCCAGTGAGATGGAGGGATTTTGAAGGAAAAATAGTATGTCTAATTCTAATTCTGGTTCCTTTCTCTGCATTTTAAAGAGTGATGAAATCAGACTAATAACGCGTCAGTTTTCGCTAATGATTCGTTGACTTTTGTAGCTATTTTCTCTCGTTCGACCCACCTTTTCCTTTTCTCGTTCCATTTCTCTTTCTATAATGTTTTTCTCTGTAGGCTATATGCTCTCTCAGGTCTTCTCTCCTTCACCTGTACTTGCTTTCTCTTTCTCTTTCTTTTTCTTTCTCACCTCTCCATCGCTCCCTCGCTCCACCTCCATCCTCCAGCAGGTAGATTGCTCATAGTAAATAAATGAGCTCTACACTTCTCTCTCTCCATCTGACAGCAGCCATCTTTCACTCAGTGCAGCCATATGCCACACTGATATCTCAGATCCACTACGGCTGCAACATCTGCTGCTGATATGTATGTACACACACATTCACACACGCGCACACACACAGAAGTTTAGAAATGGTAGCAAGTTGAAGGAATAGTTTACTGAAAAATGAAAATTATTTACTCGCCCTCATACTTTCATGGTGCTCTTGAATCCTTTTTGAAGTTTGAAGCCTCAGTCTCCATTTGTTGCATCAAAAAGAGCAAATACAGTACAGTACAGTTCTTCAAAATTTCACCTTTCAAAAGTTTGGAGTCGAAGATTTTTTAAATTATTTTGAAAGAAGCATCTCTTATGCTCACCAGGGCAGCATTTGTTTGATGAAAAAGACCGTAAAAGCAGTAATAATGTGAAACATTATTTCAATTTTAAATAAGTTTTCTATTTTAATGTAATTAAGTAATGTAATTTATTTTTGTGATGGCCAAACAGATTTTTCAGCATCATTACTCCATTCGTCTGTGTCACATGACACTTCAGAAATCATTCTAATATGCTGATTTATTATCAGTGTTGGAAACGGTTGTGCTGCTTAATATTTTTGTGGAAACATTTGGTCATGATAAATTTTTTTTTCCAGGATTCTTTGTTTAAAAGAACAGCATTTTTAATAGAAATCTTTTGTAACATTATTCACATTTGATAACAGTAAAGATTTACATATATTTACTGCATAATTTCTGAATATTAATTTAAAAAAATTATTTACTTATTTAATTCATTTTTCATTTCATTTCAGAAAGGGAAAGTGTACATTAATCAACATTCATGAATGTAAATTTACCTAAGTTAGCTGGAAGGCTAATTTTCATTGGTAGTCCATTTGCCAGATATTATTAGGCCTGAAGCTAAATGAAAAAAAAAAAAACACAAACAAACAAAAACAATAATAGGACAAAAATGATAAACAACTCTTATCAAATATAGTTGAATAGCATATGTAATACAATCAGTTAAAAAGAAAAAAAAAAGTATTATTTTGGGTTAACGAAAAAAAATCATAATGATGATAATAGTAGAAGCAACATCAGTGTTGACATGTCGTGTTTTTTAATTAACCCACATTTTTGGATAATAGTCTATGTTCCAGAGGTTTGGGTGTGACATGAAGGAAGGAAATTGTGCTAATTTTCTTTTCTGGGTGAATGTTACTGTAAGAGGAAAGTGCTACCTGCAGCATCTGCTTTGTTCCTCTTCACCCTCAAAACACAGAGGGCTCAGCGGCGATGAGAATGTGATAGAGGGAAGGAGAGGTATAAGTGCTAAACCATGTTACCCTAATGAAAGTGAAAGAGGATTTGAATATGTTAGTATTTAACATTTGTAAGTTTCCCTGTAAACATTCACACTATATGTGACACACTGATGCGGTGTGATCCTCAAAATGCATTAATCTTTACCTCAGCGTTGTGCTTGCATCTCTACAAAGGGTGTTTTCAAAGTCAGGAATCCCTTTTCACGGATGTATGAGGTCGGTAGTCTCTCTGCAGACGAGTCCGCTCACACGCATACATAATCGCAGACAGTTCAGTGAGATGAGAGGCAGATGCTGGTGTCAGAAGGAGGGAATGAGAGGAATAAGATCAGGTGAAGGAGAAAAAGAGAGGTTGGCGGTCAGGGCCAGACTTGAACAGCTTGAGTGGAAATGATGCGTGTAAAAGCGTATGTGTAGTCTGAAACAGAATGACTGTATAAACACCAGCTCTCTGACACAAACGCACAGCTTCTTACAAATAAAGCTTGCCTCTCGGTTTGTCGGTCGCATTTTTTTTTTATTTTTAGGATGAAATGAATACAATTGGCCACATAGTTTTGACATCAGATATACACATTAGTGTCTGTCTGTCTGATCAGTCTGTCTGTCTGATCTGTTTGTCTGTCTGTCTGTCTGTCTGATCAGTCTGTCTGTCTGATCAGTCTGTCTGTCTTGTCTGTCTGTCTGTCTGATCAGTCTGTGTCTGATCTGTCTGTCTTGTCTGTCTTGTCTGATCTGTCTGTCTGTCTGTCTGTCTGATCAGTCTGTCTGTCTTGTCTGTCTGATCAGTCTGTCTGTCTTGTCTGTCTGTCTGTCTGTCTGATCTGTATTTGTATGTATATACATAAAATACAGACAGACTCAAATCTATCTGTGTTATTATCTGTCTGTGTATTTTATTTGAGAAATATGTTTATGGTGTCCGGTAGTGGGAAATTCTGCGCTTAATTGTCTCTTGCATTGGTGTGTAGTGGCGGAGTGTTTGTTATTAAGAGTTGAAGTGAGAAGATACTGTGTGGTAATTCTCTAATTAAAGTGTGTGTAAATTACGCACTGCTTGGTTTGATTAATCAATGAATTCATTATGACCTGGACAAGCTCATTAGCATGAGTCTGATGCAGCGCTAGTAGTCAGGACTGCCGCTGTCCTGAAGTGTGTATTTATAGATGCAGGAAGTCACCTGGAATTATTGTTCCTCCCTTTTTTTTTTTTCTTTTTCATCTTGTTTCTTCCTTTTTCAGTTTTGCGTGCCACTAATGAGTGAGTGATGAATGTCCTCACATGGGTTTCACTCAGCGAGTTTGAGTGTGTGTCGCATGTTCATTAATCAAGTTCAGTGGAAGAGTAGCATACACGCACTAGTTTACACCCTCCTTCCTCATTAGTTGCTGTGTTTAGATTTACACACAGTAAACCGTTCAGTCATACTTGAGTCCAGACAGCACAGAGCTGCTCTAGTGCCCATCTCGCACTGCTCATTAAAGTGTTGTGCTTGACTTTAAAGTAGTGATCCATCCTATTTCTGAGGCTGAAGATAAAGTCTTGTGTTTGTAAACAGACAGATAGGCATAACTCCAGTGACTTATTCAGCAGCCTTAGGACTTAGGAGATATATTTCCTATTCATTTTCACCATATGCTTTATTAATAAAAATTAGGGATGCACCGAAATGAAAATTCTTTGCCGAAGCCGAACATAATGAAACACCGGGACGAATACCAAACACGGTTTTTCGCATTTTTTATCCATATATTTTGCCAATTTTTTTTCACCATTGCATAAATTAAATGGCCAAAATGTGCTTTTTACTGTTTTGTCTAGCATTAAAAATTACAAAACAATTAAAAAATATATACTTAACACTGAACATTTTTAACATTCTAGCAGACACTATACCAACAAAGCACAATTTAAATTAAAATTAATAAGTTACGGCCAATAATATTTTTTGGCCATTTTCGAGACCCCCTTCTTGAATCAGTTATGTACTTTTTACTGTACAAATAAATGCAGCCTTGCCGAGCAGAAGATAATTCTTTTAAAACATTACAAAATATTACAGATCACAATTTGAACACTATGTGTGTGTTATAATAAATGTATTAATAGAGCTGTTGTAATTATTATCATTATTGTTGTCTTATTTTAATTAAAAAATGCATAAAAATAGCAGCTGACGAGTAATACAGTTTCAGCGCAGATTTCCTTGCGCTTTGGACTTTGAACCCTGGCTAACAAGCAGATAGCGCCGCAAGCTCGTGCAGCGCTGTCAGAATACATGCAATTCGTGTGTGTATTAGAAAACAACGTTCTGCAGTTTATTTACTAATTGTCTGAGGCCATTTCGCGATTTCAGTCATCATACAGTAACCAGCAACAGCCACCTCTTCCTCTTCTCATCGGAGACATGCGATGCGTTACTAAACAGCCTCTCGCTGTCAGTGCTTATAATGCTTCCACACTGCTGACATGTTTGCTGCATTAGTGAGCGCCTCTATTTGATCGCATCACATCATTGTTCGGTACAATTTATTCGGTGGTTCTGGTGTTCGGCTGAATCATTTCAGTTGCCGCACATTCGGTGCATCCGTAATAAAAATCTTCAATAATGTTTAACTCTTGAATTTTCAATAATAATCATAAGATTTGGGCCATGTTATTTGTTATGAATCATGACATTACAACATTATCATAAGGCCTTTTTGATCCTGTTTCATATTAATTTGAAATTAATAAATACAATTTTATAGTATTTTTATTGAAGCTCTATGAATACTGTAGGGTTGTCCCTAACAATTATTTTGGTAATTAAGTAATCGGTAGATTGTTCTGATGATTAATCGAGTAATCAGATAATCCTTTTTTTTTTTTAAATAGACCTACGTGAACAATAGCCTTTAAAATTACTCAACATACATATATAATAGCAATAAGACAAAAATACATAATGTATTATGAACAATAGCGCTATTGTACATTACGCATTATAACAAATGCCTGCAGAGGGCGCCAACAGACTGACGATTTTTTTTAACACTTTACTGCGCAAACGAATCCTTGTTTAATATTGACTAAACAACATTTAGTTAATTTAATGTCCACTTATTCTTTAATATTTGGCCATTTTTTTACGACAGAAATGCTACAGCATACTGTAATTTCTTTAATATGTGGACATCAAAATGTGTAAACTCAGAGCGAGGGTTTAAAGTTTTATTTTGAAATTTTGAATTGAATTTATTTAATTGAATCGTAGCATTTGTGATTTTGCAATAGCATTATGCTTTATTATGATTTTTAAATGGCTTAATATATCAGGCAGCCTTGCAAAAATGGTGTAATGCGTTTCGTGGATTCTCGTCCGTGGGATGTGCCACTTCCGTAATTTTGCCGGTTACTCGACACAAATAAAATGATTTTTCAATCCCAATCAAAGATTTTTTAAAAAATTGAGTACTAGAATTGAATCAAGAAATCGTGACCGCTCTAGAATGCTGCTTAATAGGAAGGGTTTTTCTATCCTTGTGTCTTTAGTTCAGATGTTTTAATGGTGTTTTTTTGTTGTTGTGATGTTAGTGCAGGCTGTTTCTGTTGTTTTGCTGGTATTGCAGTGGTTTTGTGAAGAATTTATGTGTTGTGATGCCCATAACAGCTTGTTAGTTTTAGTTTTATGTACAGCAGAAAGGATGAAAAGGAAATATATATATTTTTTGCTCCCCAGCCTGTCCTCATCTTGCTCAATTTCTCGTCCTCTTTCCTTGTTTGTCCCTCTCCTTCTCGTCTGCTGTCTTCCCTGTTTTCCTTCAGGGGAAAGTCTGCTCCTCCATTAAGAACATACAAGGGTCCTTGACATTTAATTTCCTGTTTGTGGTGCTCTTTTACCCTCTTCCTGTGTCATACTCGCTCTCCTCCATCTCTATCCATCTCCGTCTCATTCTCACTCCTTTTTACTTTTATTTTTTGTCATTTCACTCTTGTTTGCTCCTGATTTTACCTCAAACTCTTGCCCTCTGAGCATTATGGGATCATTTTGCAGAGAAATTTCCAGTTATCTTTCATTACATTTACAGACTTTTCAAATCTGAAGTGAATGTCCAGTACAGTCTCATGATGCTGTAATAGGCATCTCACATGGTTTTGAAACCCCCTCAGTCTTGAGGTTTGTCTGTGTGGAGTTTTGCTCATTAAAGAAATGTGCCTTATATGGCAATTAACTTGGTGTGAGAACCTGTGGCATTTCAGCGTGTGTGTGTGTGACTCCTGGAGTGAGATAAATGAACCTGCTTATGTCTGCGGGAACAGGTGGCTAAGTCAGCATGGTGGCCCGCCACACACACATACGCACGCTCACACACAGAGACCAGTTACAAATTGAGGCAATTTGTGTAAATTAAGAGATAACTAGACTGCTGCCCTTGTTGAACAGTCGTTGTAGTGTCCCCCCTGAGCCACTGGAATCGGGATCTACCATATTGGCTGACATATGGATGTCCTTAAATGTGTCTTTAGAATAAACATAAGTTAACCCAGCACACATGAATCTGGTGTCTTTAAAATAGTGTTTGGCTTTGTGTGTGTGTGTGTGTGTGTGTTTTTTAAGCAGGCTGGCTAATGGTTGAGATAATCCATATGTAATTTAGTAATAATATAACGCAAATGTGCATCTATTTTATTTTATTATATGTATTTTTTATTTTTCACTATTTCACACATTATTAATGGCCAGCACTAATTTGGTTTTACATTTTGTTTTTGTGTGTTTAGGTGAGTGTGGTGCAGGACTCTGTGAACATCTCGGGTCAGAACACCATGAACATGGTGAAGGTTCCTGACTGCCGGCTGGCAGATGAACTGGGTGGACTGTGGGAACATTCCAGATTCACGGACTGCTCGCTGTGTGTCGCCGGGCAGGAGTTCCAGGCACACAAAGCCATACTGGCAGGTAATGTGGGAAACACACACACTTACGTGAACTTTTTTCAGAGATTCACATATGCTAAGATTTTTCAAACTGAAAGAAAATTATTGCAGATGAGTAATGTCAAAATGTTCATGAGCTTTTGTAATTTTTTTTCCATTTCCATTTTCTTTTTCTTTTTAATATTTATATTTAATTTAAATTTTTATTACCTGAAATAAGTTATTTTTTTCCATTTATTTCAGCATTATTTTAATTCATTAAAAGATTTTTAATTGTTTTAGTTTACTCGTCGTTCCAAACCCGTAAGACCTTTATTCGTCTTCAGAACACAAATTAAGATGTTTTTGATGAAATCCGGGAGCTTTCTGACCCTTTATAGACAGCAATGTAACTGACACGTTCAAGGCCCAGAAACATAGTAAGGACATTGTTAAAGCAGCACTATGTAACTTTTGGCGCTCTAGCGGTTAATAAACAGAACTGCACACATCCCGCGGAAGAACATTCCAACCGGAGCTACTTCTCTAAGTTTATGTCTATGGCGATTCACGCAGGTATGTGTTACTCCGCAGCGGTGATGACCCGACCAGGCTACAATAGTCCAAATATAAGTACTTATTATAAGTGTACCGTAGTGATTCGGAATAAGACAAAAACGCGGTTTGGAAGATGAATTCATGATGTACTCGCTCGTTATATACATTTTGCAAATTTTGAACACAGAAAAAGTTACATAGTGCTGCTTTAAAATAGTCAATGTGACATCAGTGGTTCAACCGATATTTTGCAAAGCTACAAGACTATTTTTGTGTGCAAAGGAAACAAAAATGAATTTATTCAAGAACTCTTCTCCTCCACGTCACTGTCCGCCACCATTCATGAGAGTAACATTGCTGGATTGCTGTCTATGCAGGGTCAGAATGCTCTCGAATTTCATCAAAAATATCTTAAAGGGGTCAAGAACTGCCTTTGCTTTTTATTTTGTACTGTTCTCTAAGGTCCACTATAATGTTATCAAGATTTTTACATCAAAAAACATTATAAGTTATAAGTAACGAGCTATTTTCTGTCTTGGTTTTGACCCCCTCATCAGAACGCTCTGTTTGAATAGGCGTGGCAGAATGTAGACTCAGAAGTAGACGCCCACTGCTATGATTGGCTAATAGTTGTGTTTGTTTGACAGCCTACATCCTGTGATTTCCGTTAAAAATGCATAACTCTAAAAAATATAAAACGATCTGTAAGAAGAGACAGAGCAATGGTGATCATGTAATAAAAACAGTTTCTCACACTTGTGTGTTGCCACATCGGATCCAATATAGTCAGCACAGCATCATCTTTTAGTTTCAATCTTTCTGAAAATCTGCGTCGTATTGTGCCTTGTTTGTAAACAAATCCGCGGTAAAATGAAGTGAACAAAGGACCAAGTTCTTACTGACGCAGTCTGGATCTTCATTAAAAATAATTAACATTGGGATCAGAAGGAAGGTAATGTAAACACTGTTTTTCCAAAACTTGGCATTGCATAGCGTCTTGTCTTCAGAGCATCTTTATCATTTGGTTTCTGCGTAGACCTGCGCGCCTCTATCGTTATTTAAGCTACATGCTTGAATTGGTTGGCGGTGCTTATCCACACTATTACATCATAGAGTAGAACAGTCGTTTTGACAGACTGCCTTCAATATAAGCTGTTTTTAGACTAACGACAAAGTTTTGAGTTCTGAAACTTATAAGAGATCATTGTACTATAAAAACATCCTGTAAGTCAAAAGATCAAGGGAATTTTGGTTTCTCAGTTCATGACCCCTTTAGTTTGTGTTCCGAAGATGAACGAAGATGAGGTGAGTAATAATTGACAGAATTTTCATTTTTGGGTGAACTATCGCTTTAAATTAACACTTATTTTACACAAAATTCACATTTCCAAAAAATAAAAATAAATATCCATTGACAAGTTTATTTGTACATTTATGAAGTTGTTGAAGTCTTGTCACTAAACAAATCTCCCTTTGTCCTAATTCTCTGTGGCGATGTTGAAACCCGAAGACGGCTGTCTTATTGCTCAGTCAGTCAGTCACTTAGCAGACAGCTAAGGCACCTCATAAGGAAGCTGGTTTTATATTTCAAGAACAAATTCATGTGAGCTTGAGCGATAACCAAGTGAATATTTAATGATTACACTGCTGATATCTTGTTAAAAATGAATCATAAGTTAAAAATGTAAATGTATAAACTTTCACTGTTTTCGACGGTGAGAAGTGAGCTCAACAGTGAGCTCTGTCAGACACAGAACTACCGACCCACTCGCGCAGGATTGTGGGATATCATAGGCAGTGAAAGAAGCATCTGTGCTTCCTTCAAAAACCGAACAGACAGAGGTATCTTAGACATGATGTTAGTTAACATTTGAGTACCTTCCTAGCGATGTATCCTGCCTGAGAGGGCAGGATTTTTCAGGTTTCAGAAGCAGCTTCTCTCTCTCCCGCTGTCGCTCGTGGTGAGGCGGGATTCCTCGTTATCTGGCCATACCTGGTAGTGCTCATTAATCGCCGTGGAGACTGAGCTGATCGGCTGGTGTCTGAGCTGTGATTAGACCGTGTGTGTGAGGGAGAGAATGTGCCAGACTTCACACACCTCTTTAAACAAGTTAAAGTTGCCCTAGACAGATCTGACTCCATATCCAGACTTAACAGAGAGAGGAAGGTCTGAGCCGCCATCATCCCCTGGGTTAATCAGCCAAAAGCATCGGCAATTGCACCATGGCACAAATTGTCTGAGGAACCACTTAGACGTTTTGTTTTTTGATGTTGATGACTGAAACATTTCCTCAGAATCTTTGTTCACCATCCCTCTTATGATTTAACAAAAAAAGCACTGTACAAATATATTGAACTGATTACGTCTTTTGCCTACCTCCATGAAAGCAGCACATTTCCTAATATAAAAGAGTAGACAGTATTGTAGCTTTCTTTTTCAGGTTTTTCATATCAAAGTTTGTGATGTTGTGATTCATCTCAGAGCTTGTTGATTTGGTTCGTGGCATGAACTCTTTTTCGAGGAAACAGTTTGGAATTGCCTTCGGAGAACATGAATGGGAAAAATACTTGGGCAACCAAGGCTGCTGAAAAAGTGCCCTGTCACTGTTTCACTCTATTATAATTACCAGATGTTTTTTTATCAGAAGTTTTTGTTGTGCATTAAAAACTCTTCTCTTTCGCTTCCACAGCACGTTCCCCAGTATTCAGCGCTATGTTTGAACATGAGATGGAGGAGAGTAAAAAGGTGAGCCTGTTTATTTATTTTATTTTCCTTCTCTTCTATCTCACATTTTGTCATTATACTTCAGAAGCTTATCCTTTTAGTCCGTCACAATCAGAGAGGCCCTCACATTTATGTTCATGCACAGCTTGCTGTTTTTCATGCTAGTGTTTTCCTGATGTCTCATTTCTGCAGTGTTTACTAGTTTCTAAGTATATTAGTTATCTCCCAGTAGGACTCAAATCCATCCTACCTATTAGCGGCCTAATTTTCAGTCCAGCTGTGTGTGTGTGTGTATGTATGTGGTCTAATACCGCCGCATTTACTGAGTTGCTCAACTGTACCATCTTCCTGCTTGTTCTCAATAGCTGATCGTAAATCACTATTTGCCATTTTTCTTGCATGGCTTTTTAATATGGCAGTCATGTTAGGTCTGATATAGATCAGAGCTAGTGTTGTCAAAAGACCCGGTATTTCAGTACCAAGTTAGGTCATGTTATCTAACAAATAAAATCTTATTGTAAAGTGTTTTTAATACTACAGTTTCCATCTATTTGATATACACTTAATATTTGTAATCTTATCTAAATTTATTATAAAAGCTGAGGTTTGTTATTTCCTGAAAAGTTATATTTTAGCTGGTGTCAATGATCTTATGTTGCATTTGGTCAGACTCAGCCCATTGCTTTACTTAAGTATATTATATTTTCCTTTTACAGCTGCAGACTGAGGAAGATCCTGAAACACACCAGCAAACCCTAAAACAGACAACAGTTTACAGATGTTTTTCAGTGGCAGCAGAACTATGACTAAACTTTTGGGTGAAACTTGTTTACTTTTTTCTTACTTTTATTACTTGTGGAAAAACTTGAAACAATTTTAAATAAGTATAAAGAATGGCATTGGTTTTGTACATTTAATTTTTGTTTAACGTTATTAATAAAAATGTTGTTCAATTAACATGTTTTTTTTGTTTTGCTTTGGTACCGAAATTGGTACCGAGAACCGTGGATTTTCACTGGTATTGGTACCGAATGCTGAAATTTTGGTACCGTGACAACACTAATCAGAGCTGTGGAGTTTGTTCATAGAGGCGTTAAAGATTGCCTGTGTTAATCGGGAAGACTACACATGTCTATTTAAATGATGACTGAAGACATTGTTGTTTTTAGGACTGTCAAAGTTAACACTTGCAATTAGTGAAATGTTTCTTACCATTTATTAATTTAATTTGACATTCATTTTTATAATGTAATCTAAGTAATGAACCCAATTCTTGCACCATAAAAGGAACTTACGGTGGCCGAGAAGTGCAAAGCAAATCACAATTCTGAAAACAAAATAACAAATTACTAACGCAAATGCAAGTCTAAAAAACAAAATAACAATTTGACTTGTTATTTTGTTTTCGGATTTGTCGTTGTGTTTTCTGATTTGTTAATTTGTTTTCGGATTTGTCTTTGTGTTTTCTGACTTGTTATTTTGTTTTCGAATTTGTCATTGTGTTTTCTGACTTGTTATAATATTTTCTGAATTGTTGTTGTGCTTTCTGAATTGTTATTTTGTTTTTTAGACTTGCATTTGCGTTAGTAATTTGTTATTTTGTTTTCAGAATTGTGATTTGCTTTGCACTTCTCTGCCATCGTAGGAACTGAATGTGTTAACTACAAAAAAAGTTGAATTAGTGGAATATATTTTATATATTTGCAGCAGTGTTAAGTAATAACGGTTAAAATCGTTATTTTGTTAATTAAAATATAGCTGAAATAAATAATAATAAAATAGAAATATTAGATAAAAAACATGAATAAAAATATTGCATTAGCAACTAACAAAAAATAAGTTTGCTATGAAGTACTACAATTTACCAACAAAAAAAAAACCCTAATAGAACTGAAATTAAAATAAATTTAATCTAAAAGTTTAAAAAAATTATGGTAAAAGCACATTGAAAATCTAAAAATGACAGCTAATTCAAAATATTAAGAACTCCAGTAGTATATAAATAATACTAAAATGACACTTATTTGCACTAATTGGCCCTTACACTTCCTCTAACACACTTCCTGTTCTTCCTCTTATCATCATCTGTGATATTCCCATGTTTCACCATCTGCTGATCCAGTATTCCTCTGTCTCTCTCCTCGTGTCGTATCCCCCCTTTCCCAGAGTTTCATCATGCACAGTTTTTTGGGACAGGATGTGCTTGCGTTTGGGGTTTGTGGAGCAGTGAGATTTCCTGTTGCTCCTTTTAGTTGTGCGGCTTATTAGCTTTGTGAAGATCCATGCAAATGTGTGAGACGGAGTTTCGTGTTGAGAAGTGCGTGTGTGCGCTTAATAGATGAATGATGGTATCTGGGGCTCAGTTTGTGCATAGGCACGTGTGAAAGTGAATGTGGCTGCATGTATGTGTCAGTGCGTGTGTGTCAGGTTTAGATGATGGCTGGGGCTCAGTGATTTGGCTGCGATGTCTGTAGAATATTGATGGATTTGATGCTGCAATAGAGAAAATCTAAAGAGAATGAGAGGAAATATCTCATCAGAGAGAGAGGGTAAACAGATGAGTTGCCCGTTACATCTAAAGAAAAGACTCCTGAATATCTGCTCATGAACTTCTCTGGATACTTCAGTGACTTGTCACACTGGAACTTCTGGTGTGGACTGGAGTACTTTTGATGTCCACATGTTTTTTCTTTTTTTTTTCTTTTTGTGGAGATGTTTAGGTACTGAGAAAACTCTGTATTCTTCTGTTGCGAAGCATCCATAGCAGACATGTCAAAAGAATAGTTAACTTATTTTATAAATAGTTATTTATTCACCCTCATGTTATTCCAAACCTGTTTGACTTGCTTTCTTCTGTGGAACAATATTTCAACTGTTTTTGTCCATACAGTAAAAGTCACTGAGAACCAAAATAACAAATAACATTGAACCCCTTTGACTTTCGTTATATGGACCAAAAAAAAATCAAAAATCAAATACACCACTGTTTGAAATCAGTAAGATTTTTTAAAAATAGATTTGAAAGACTCTCTTATGCCCATCAAGGTTGAATTTATTTGAAAAACTGTAATATTGTGAAATATCATTACAATTTAAAAAAATTATTTTCTAATTTAATATATTTTCAAATGGTGTTTATTCCTGTGATGCAAAGCTGGATTTTCAGCAGTCATTACGCCAGTGTCACATGGTCCTTCAGAAATCAGTCTAATATGCTGATTTTGGTGCTTAAGTATTAATGTTGAAAACACTTATGTTTCTTAATACTTTTGTGGAAACTTTGATCATTTTTCAGGATTCTTTGAATAGAACGTTTAAAAGAGCGGGATTTATTTAAAATAGTAATATTTTGCAACATTATAAATGTTTACTGTCGCTATTGATCAATTTAATGTGTCCTTGCTGAAAAAAACTATTAATTTCTTGAAAATAATGAGTGAATTTTCGTGTTTGGTGACCTGTAGCTTTGTAGTTTTGGTCATAGAATTGAATAAACAAAAGCATCACCACAAGCCTCTTCTCTGTCTTAGTGACTTAGCCTCTTAAATTTTAGGTACATTTTTAACTAGTTTTTGTGATGGTATTCTCATTGATGAAACAAGAGTGCCACAGTTCATAGCAAAATCTGCAATATGCACGGGGAGGGAGGTAAAACTTTGTGAAGAAAGCCTGTGACTGTTAATGCACCTTTAGGCTACACAGACTTTTATTTTCTGTAATAGCCTTTAATAAATAGTTCCGTTTGCTTTTGAGTGAACTTTTTGATTTGACCTTGCCATGTTCCTGTGTCTGTGGGTGGGATGGAGTTACTAACAGTTGCTGCATTAATTGGTTTAGCTGTGATGGACGGGCTGAGACGGAAAAGCCTTTGTTACCAGCACGACAATCAACAAAGAGCTTGTGCTCCGGCAGCCTTGGGCGGAAGAGAGAAACTCTGGCAGCGCTCATTCTGGAACATTGATCAGGGCAGGAACAGAAAGGGAATGGGGCTTTCTGAGCTATACATTAATTTGCTTTTCTGAGTGACTCTGTCCTTTTGTGTGCGCATATGCGCTCATACGGTGGAGGTCAGTGGTCGTGTGAGTTTGGTGTAGGGTGCTCAAGGGACACCTCAGCAGCTCATGAGAGGAAAGGCCAGACTCCGACACAATTACACTTTATGCTTTTACAACAGTTTCAACCGCCTGAACTGCATCAGGTCCAATTACATCACATTTTAAACCCCCCAAAGCACAGCCAGTTGACTATGGTGCAATGACAGAGAGTTGAATAAATTCTACATTGTTAGAATGAGAAGCTGGAGAAGACTAACTGTAAATGTCTAGGTACCTTCTGCGTTCCGTTCCGTCTCCTGCTCAGCCGCGTCCGCACAGCTTTTAAAGATGAGTGTGCATGGACGAGTTCGACACATGCACAGTACCAACTAATACAATTGGACGTCCGCGGACGAACACTTCTGATGATGAAAATTGCATCACGCGAACAGTGCGCGGACCGTCGCGGAACGCGGATAGCCAATGTATACGTTGGGCTTAACACTGTCTCTACGTTGAAGTGGTTGCTGTCACATTGCACCATGACATCTTCACACTGGGAGCGTCGAGGCTGCACCTCACCTCACAATGCCCACTGATCTCAGACCAATCAGCTGCAAGCTTGAGGCCAAGTTTAGCAACAGAAAATTTTGTGAATAATACTGTATTCCACTACTTGGCATATAAATTGATATTTTATTATAATAATAATAATATAATAATAACAACATTATATTATATAATAAAAATACCAAAAACATATAATAATAATAATAATAATAATAATTATTATTATTATTATTTATTGTTACTATTATTGTTGTTGTTGTTATTTAATTACAATATCAAAAAAATATTATATTATTTTAATAATAATAATAATAATACTTTGGGTTTATCCATCAAGTTCAAATCATAGTTTGGCTCTGCATTTTAGATAAAACATTGCTGATTAACACGTGTAAAGAGTCTGTAGAAGTTGAGGAGTCTTGGGTGTTTTCTGATCTGATTCTGCTTCTATGAGACTGTGGTGACAGGGTTCTGCTGTGATTTGCTGTCTAGAACCGAGTTGAGATAAACGACGTGGAGGCTGAGGTCTTTAAAGAGATGATGTTCTTCATCTACACTGGCAAAGCACCCAACCTGGACAAGATGGCTGATGACCTGCTCGCTGCTGCTGACAAGGTGAGTAATGGCACTCGCACACAAACACCACATTTAGCTGAATGCATGCCAAACAGCATTTCTTCTCATCTGAGGACAAAAACAAGTTTATTAAATGTCACAATGACAACATATTTCATTTTGTCTTCTCAATCATGCATTCACATCACATTATTTTCTTGGCAGACACACCAACAAAAAATGACCAGAATGTGCATCATGTGTCGTAAGCTTCAGCAGTTAGCAAAAATCATAACTGCATATTAAAACAGAGCCAATATCTGCCAATAGCAATGCAGTACATGCGTTGTGTTGACAACACAAGCTCACAGACACATTTTTATTGAAGTGCATCTCTCTGTCTTTAGTATGCTCTGGAGCGACTGAAGGTGATGTGTGAAGATGCTTTGTGCACCAGTCTGTCTGTGGAAAACGCAGCAGAGATTCTGATCTTGGCCGACCTGCACAGCGCTGACCAGCTCAAGACGCAGGCTGTCGACTTCATCAACTAGTGAGTGCTACTCCTGTCAGGCTTAGTAGTTCAGGGGGAAAAAATCGAATAATGTCGATATATATATATATATATATATATATATATCATATAAATCATTTAAAAATAATAATATAGTAATTTGTTAGATATCTATGATGGATGTAATTTTGCAGGCTGGTGATAATTAACCAGCTCCTTTCAATCTTAGAATAGAAACCAAATGCTTTTTGAGTTGTTTGACTTTTCTGCATCATCTTCGCTTGTTGTCTCCACTTTGTCAGCCCCCCTCTCTGTTCTCTGCACACTTATCTTTCATGCTCTATTTTGTCGATTTTTTTATTTTATTTTATTTTACTAGCTTGTTCAGTCTCTCTTTGCAGCAGCTTTATTGGATGGTGTAATCTTGAGTTCATTTCGTGGATGGCAGTAACTTGGCTGGTGTGAAACTGGACTGTGGCCATCTCATTTCAGCTCTCTCTCTCCCCATCTCTATACAAAACACCCACCGCCACAACAGCAGAGACAGAGGGGAGATCAATAACAAGGGCAACACAGAAAATAAACATGCACACCAGCACCCCCTCCCAAAATGATTCGTCCTCTCTGCCCTTCTTTTCCTGCATTCATGTTTGCTGCTTATGTTATTGGTTTATGTGCTCATCTTTCTCTTCTCAAATGGTTTTATTGCCGCACGTAGGAGTCTAGTGTCAGAGTGCAGCAGTTTTCCCACAGCAGCAGACTCTGTCCAGCCATCACAGGACAATGACTGCCAGCGGGAGCATCCCCACTGCTCAGAAAAAAGAAAGGGAAATTTCGCAAATTAATAAAGTCAAAACAATGAAAATAGAGAAGTTTTCTGTTGAGTTGTCCTTGCTTTTTGAACACCGCAACAAACATACAGCATGGCCATTGTAGTCAGATTCAAGAACGAACGACTCCTACCATCTTTTTCAGTTCCACATACAAATGAGTCTCGAACTTTTTAATTTAAATAAAAGCATGTTCAACTTAGAGCGTACAGGGTTTTGGTTCCATAGAAGAAATTTCATACAGTACTTAATCTTGTTTGTAAAAAAAAATAAATAAAAAAAGCGTAATTGTTGCTGTTCCTCTTCACAAAAATTGAGAGACAAAACCAGAAACGACAATACATGAAAACTTCTGTAATTATTTTTATAGTTTTATAGTTTATTTTTAGTTTTTTCGAATTTATTGGTTTTGATATTAAATATTTAATAGTGCATGCTCGTTTCCATTAAAAAATGTTATTACCTCTACTGTCATCCTACCCCACTTACTGTTCATCTTTAAAAACACAAATTTAATAAATATAATCTTTTGCATATCTCAAAATGAATATGTATTTTTTATACTGTACATTATAATTTTATAATGCCTAAAATGTCTAAAATTATTTAGTTTTCAGTGTTTATTATTAAATTGTTTAGACAAAATTTTAAAAAATAATAATCATTTTAGTTTTAGCCATTTACAGCTTATCAGCCAAAACTAATATACAATTATATAATAATGAAAATTATTATCAGATTATAAGGACCAACCATAATTGAAATATTGGTGCATTTTTAGAGAGACTGTACTCTTGCAAGAGATGTGGGTTTGAGTCACAAAAACATTGCATTATACCAGTTCAATGGATAAATCTTGAGCAAGCACTTTCATATGAACTTGAATTCATATGAAAGTGAATATGACTCTTGTTTATATTCTTGTTTACTTCCAAGTTATTTTGGAAAGCCTGTGTTTGTAACCTGTTCTTTGTGGATGGCTGACCGCGCGGTGACCTTTTGCATTGGGTAAAGTGGAACGGGCATGTGCCCGCAAGGCCTGCTGTCGACACTGCCAGCAAGTGCTGCAATTAATGCCAAGTGTTTGGGGGCGACAGCATAGTGGGGTTAGGGGGAGGTCAGCGTCTCACACACAAACACACTCCGGGTAAATGTCGTTAAAGGCCATTTTTTGGTGTGCGTGATAGTGCAGTGCTAGTGCCCTCGGGGTGCTGAGCTCAGCGAAGAGGATTGTACTCTCAATTTGTCTCTCTTTCTTTCTCTCTCTCCCTCTCAGCCATGCGTCCGATGTGATGGAGACCTCAGGGTGGAAGTCAATGGTGGCGTCCCATCCTCACCTGGTAGCCGAGGCGTACCGCTCCCTGGCCTCCTCCCAGTGCCCTTTCCTGGGCCCCCCTCGCAAACGCCTCAAACAGTCTTAGTGCCGTCCCTTACCGTTACCTGACCCGCACACCTACACACACTCACTCAACTGCCTACAAAGGGGGGGGAAGCGCTATTTTAGATTTACATCCCCCCCAAGCTCTGTCCCTTTAGATGCCTAAACCAGCTCTTGACCTGCCCCTCCCTTCACGTTATCCAGACAGACCCCTCCAGCGCAGAGGACCCTCTTTGTTGCTGCCCTACCGACGGGTTTCTCAGTGTTGGGGAGTGTTTAGGCTGCCACAGGTTGAACCCTGTCCGAAAACGTGGCCAATCTCTGCACCAGTCTGGCCGTCAATCCCAGAGTTTCTGTGGACCGTGGATTCTTGAGCGTGGGCGGATGGATCGGGGTTGGGCAGTTAAACATGAGATTGATTAAGACTGGTCTTTTTACGTAACTCCACTGGCCACTACTGTGTGCTCTCCTTCACTGTGTGAACCGGTTCTCCATCTCCGCTTCATCCCTCCTTCAAAACAGTGTGATCGGCCAATAGACATTCCCCTTTACAGTCGTGGATGGAGGGATTTCTCTTTGAAAAGGAATCAAGGACAAACTCTGTTATTGTTGCGAACTTTTCAATAGGTAGCATGTGTTTTCGTAATGACATCAGCGTTCAGTAGATTCCTGTGTGACTTTATCAATCCTTTGTGACAACAGTTTTTCCTGAACTGGCCTCTGTTTCTTGGGAAATTTGAACATAGAACTTGCCATGAACTTTTTGCGACCCACAAGCTAACCTGGCTTCCAAATGGAGGTGAAGTTCAGATGGACTTACAAAGTGGTTTGGTCTCATTTTACAGGGCAAATAAATTGACGAATCCGTTGAGGAGTGTAAAAATGGGGAAATGCTTATGGAACTTTTTTTTTTTTCCTTGTGATGTTTATTTGGGATTTTTCCTCCTTGTAGCACTTGTGTATTTGAATCCAGGCTTTCTGTATGAAAAAAAAAAAACAATGCCAAAAACACAAACCTGTCTGCATTTGTGTTTTTCTTTTTGTTTTGTAACAGGCACAACATGTTTATGTTACTGGCATATCTTAGCGGTTATCCTGCTTTCTGCTGATTCCATTCTCTCTTTATATTTGGTTACAGTCATGGATTAGACAAATCTGGAGCTCTTGCTGAAGCGGAGAATTGCCTTTTTAAAAAATAATTAAATAAAAGCCTGTCCGACTGACAGCATGCAAGGTTTTTGGTTCCATAAAAATAATTTCTTATGTGGCTTAATCTTGTTTTTGTAAAAAAAAAAAAAAATTTACAGTGCACCAAATCTCACAAAATAATTTCTGTTCATGCTCACACAAAAAAAAGGGAGACAAGTAACCAACTTTTTGTTACCCACAGAAAATGATTTGGCATAGTGGATGGTTCTTAGTGCTAATAGGGCTTTCTGAATTACATTTAATAAAATAATAATAATGACTACTATTAAAATTGTTACCAATAAGTATTAAATATTAAGCACAACTTAAAGGAATAGTTTGGGCAAAAATTTAAATTGCCATTTGTTCACCCTTAAATTGTTCCAAACCTGTATGAATTCCTTTCAACTGTTTAACACAAGATATTTTGAGGAATGTTGGTAACCAAGCAGTTGACGGAAGCCATTGACTTCCATATATGAAAGAAAATACTATGCAAGTCGATGGCTACTGTTAACTGTTTGGTTACAAACATTCTTCATAATATCTTATTTTGTTTTTAGCAAAAGAAAGAAACTCATACAGGTTTGGTACAACTTGAGGGTGAGCAAATGATTACAGAATTTTCATTTCTGGTTGAACTATTCCTTTAAAGGCTTATGAACCTGACACACAGTTTTACAGATGTGTCCAGACACTCAGTCTCTTTGCAGAATGTCATACTTCTTGTATGTGTGCTTTGTCATATTCATGTTCTTTATTTATGAAATACTCCAATGATGTATTATGCTGCCAAGTGTTTAGCATACAGCAGAATACACTGAGTGGAAAACGGTATCCTGCGATGCAGTGCTCTCGACCTGATCTTCCATTTCCCTGTGTGACTAGTGGGCCGTAAGTAATATCACTTGTGATTAACATTTCCTTCTTGACTCATTTTGATCAGACTGCCAAAACAAGTTTTTTATTTTTTATTTTTTTTTACCAAAATGGGATTTAAAAAAGCTAAATAGCATTTATTTAATAGATTCACAGATGTAATTTTCTGGAATCTATTTGTTTGGCCAAATTAGGATGAATTTAATTTATTTAGGGGTGTGTGTGTGTTTTTACCATAGCATTATCTGTACTGGTTCACCTAAGTACGATATTATGTACTATTCTATTAGCAAAAGAAATAAGATATAGGGCTCATTCACACCAAAAACGATAACTTTAAAGATAACTATAACAATAACTTTAATATTGTCCACACAAATTGATGATAGCTTGTTGTTTCTTATAAGCACGTGCTGCAGTTATGTTGTCTAGTGCTTTAGAAGCTATTTAGAGTTGGGTGGATTCTGATTGGCTGTCAGTGTTTTTATCGTTCATCAGCTGGAAGAAACATTCTGAAAGCGATTCCAACAATATGGTTTCTTTTTGTTGTTACCGTTATAGCTGTGATGTAGACTTCTTTATTGTCATAGAACAATTATTAGAAATTTAGAGTTCCTGTTATCTTACTTGGTGTGAACAGGCCTATAGTTCTTGACATAATCGACGTTGAACTGACCAATCAGATGCCAGTACTCTAACTACCCATTTTGTAATATACAACATGCACAGTGGGGACCAAAAGACCACTAGTTTCATTACAATTGAAAAATGATGTGCCTAACAATTTGATTAGTGACCTAGATACAATGCAGAATCAAAGTATTTCTTCTTTGTTGTGCTTCTTTGTTTTAAGTATTTCAACATCCTAAAACTTTAAATAAGATTTTTAGTCTCAGATTTTCAGTGTGGACTTTTGGACCCCACTGTATATTAACATAAAAACAGAAACAAATCTCATGCTTAACCATTTTTAAGAGTCCCATTTTTCTTCCTGCTAATGGGACTCGGGTCACCGGCTCCTCTATGATTTACCAGTTGGAAACTCATCGCAGTAAGCTTGGTTGAAGTGTTTTCTGGAACGTACCTGCAGGCTGTTTCATATAACAGGTCTGATGAGCTAACCAGTGGATTAGATGTGAAAAGAAGGTGGTACTGGCTGGTGTATTGTGTGTATGTTTTTTTTTCTCCTCACAAGTACATCCTGACTGAGATGCTTCTAATTGAGTTTTTTTCTTCTCAAAGCCTCTTGAAATTCTAATACTCTCTCTGCTCTGTTTAACAAGACTCAGGGAAAAAGCTCTTACGAATATTAGATACGCGTGGCCCGTATAATCCCCTGTGGGTGGAATGTGTGCGTTTTGTGTTTGTTTGTTTTTTGTATAGCTTCATGTTTGTGTGGCATGAAGGGTGTGTGCCGCCATGCGTGCAGGTAAGCTCATAAAAACTGCGCGAGTCGTCCTTGAGTGTGTGGAATGAAGCATTTGTTTGTGTATTGATGGTTCAGTTCTGGCATTATGAGAACCTTGCTCAAGGTTTCTGAACCCATTCAGTTATGAACCACTTTGCTGAGACATCCAGTACAGTTACTTCATGTCACAATTCCTGTTTTTCTTGCAAGTCTATTTATTTATTTTTTATTTTTTTTAAACCTCTGTCTGTATGTGTCTAATTTGCAATCAAGTGTGCAATTTATGTGGCTATACTGTAAGATCAATACGACATGTGTTGATCGATAGATACGAGAGCGCAAATGGCCAATCACCAGTCGTCCTCCTCTCTCTCTCCATCACTCGGTCTCTTTTATTGAATAGAGGGTTGCAGCGGGTCAACTCTACAAACAGGATGAACAGCTCTGCGTCTCTGTCGCTCTCCCAGAGAAAGCCGGAGCGAGAGGGGGGAGATGGATGGATGGTGTTGTGCACTGGCTGTCGAGACTAAAAGGTGCAGAGAGGGAGGACGAGCTGGTTATTGTGGTGTGAAAACGGATGAACACAATTACGTCTGATACTGTTAAAAGGGCTATAAACAGGTACACGTACTGTCTCACCGCATTTCCTGTCACATAGATACTACATCTTTGGCCAAAGTCTATTTTAGGGCAAATTGTGTCACTTATCAGCCATATTGGCAAGAGTTTATTATTATAATGATTTCTGTAAGATTGTGTGAAACAAGCCTGGAATGATGGCTGCTAAAACCTTCAGCATTTAGAAGTACATTTTAAAATATATTCAAAGAGAAAATAGGTATTTAAAATTTTTAATAGTATTTCACAAATAAATGCAACCTTGCTTAGAGACGTCTTTCAAAATCTACAAAATAAATAAAATATTCCAAACTATTGGCCCGCTACGCTCTCGTTTTCATCACAGCTCAGGATAGTGTACTGAAGGTCAGGATTAAAAGCTTTCATTTTTAATAATAATATTATATGTTAATTTGTAATATTTGTTAATTAAAATATGTATAATACACACACGCACTGTGGAGATCAAAATTAGAGAACAACCTACAATTTCTTAAATTTCAAGGTCACTGCTTAGTCCTAATTGAAGTTATTCTAACAGGAGTAGAAGGGCAGTTTTTAAGCGTATTTTGTAACTTAACTGTATTCTGAAGCACAGTATAAAAAAAAACTTGAGATATTTGAAAAATACCTATGATCAAAATTAGAGAATACTTACAGATGCCTATAGGTTATTGGTGTTAGTCTGGCACCAGGTGTTAATTTCCTTAATTATATGACAAACCCTATTTAACTGGCAGCATTCCTCCAATTTTCACTGAGATTGCATGATGGCAGGCAGCTCTAAGAAGTTGGTCATTCCAAATCTGTGATTTTCTAGAACATTGCAGGTTTACAATGACACTAATTCATTAATGTCCACAAAATGGCTGGTCGTCCAAGTAAGACGAATGAAAACGCAGCGTAATGCAGAGACTCTCAATGGGGAATCGGTTCAGCACTGCAGCTGGAATTGCTTGCCAGTTCATTGATGAATAGGGTAAGGATCTATCTTGGCATGTTTAAGAGAAGTCGGACAGAAAGCACACTCTGCAGTGACCAAGCCTCTCATCAGCAGAAAGAATCAAAAGGCTAAGCTCACCTTTGCTGAGGAGCATATTTTGTGGAGAGAGGAGAACTGGTTCAAGGTTCACTTTAGTGATGAGAACAAGTTTAATTTATTAAGGTCTGATGGGAAACATTGTTCGTGGTCAAACGGGGAAAAACTAAACCCAAAGTGGTAAAGAAGTCAGTGAAAGGTGGGGGAGGAAGTGTCATGGTTTGGGGGATGTTTTCTGCAGCAGGAGTTGGGTCTCTTATACAGATACATGGCAGAGTCAATACAAATGCTTATCAGAACCTCCTTCAGCAACATGCTGTTTCTTCCCTGCAAGCATCTCCCAATCAGCCTGCTATTTTCATGCAAGACAATACTTCCGGCATGCTGTAAAGCAGTTCCTTGAAGCTGAGAACATTGAAATCATGAAATGACCAGGCCAGAGTCCTGATCTAAACCAACTGAAAATTTCTCAGAAAAAAATGGCGACAAAGTTATGGCTAAGAAACCCACTACAGTTACCAATCTATGGAATAGAGTTGTGTGGACCAAGATCTCACCAACACACTGTGAGAGTTTTGTCATATCCCGTGGTCACAGATGTGCTGAAGTCATTCAAAGCAAGGGCCTCTACACTTAAATGTCTTTTTTTTTTTGAGTCACAAAAATTACATTGCGTGTTTTTTTTTTTTTTCGTCTTTCCCATCACATCTCACTGTTGCTAGTGAAGGTCAGGACTATAGTCCTACATCCTCAGTGGTGAAAGTTGTGACGAGTTTATCAAAAAAGGCAATTGCCTCTTTGAACAAATAAGTGGGGCTTGCATTCCTATAGCCACCATATGGAGTTTTACGATTTTTC